AAGTTAGTTAAAACACATCGGCAGTACAGGAGGCACTATTGCCAGGGGAGGAATTGTGAACATGTCCTCTGGGGTTCTGTTCAGTTGTTATTGTACCAAGGGCTGTGGCAGTTTTTCTCAGTTTTGTGAAAAGTAACTTTTAATGACTTCCTGGCTTTTGAAGTTTACTTTCTGATATAGTCCAGCTAGGGAACATACACATCTTCAAACAGTGATGGCCCTCATCATTAGTAAATCTCATAATTTTCATTTTGCATCTGGGGGATTGATTTGTTCTTCCTTTGGGTTCATCAAAATGATAGGCAATAAACAAGGTCATCGAGGCAGCAGGTAACAAAATGATTCATGTCCACTGAGAAGAGACATGCTGACACAGAGTGCCTGATATAGCCATTGCTGGTCAGTTGCAGCCTTTCAGAAATGTCTGCTGCTCTTCTGGAAGCTGACTGCCCACAGGAAGAATCCTGCAACTCTCAGCCTTGAGAATGAGTTGGAGGTACAAAGGCCCTTTCAGTATCCCACTTCCTAGTCTATGCTTCTGTAGAGAGACTTCATTTTTTTCACAATTATCTTTCTGGTATTTTTCTGTTATATATAGTATGCTGTATTTTCCTCCCTCGTTTTTATTGACATCATTTCACTTTTCCTTTATATATGCTTTTTTTTGGTACCGGGGATCAAACTCGGGTCCTTGTATGCTTTTACTATTTTCATTCTTCTAGTTTCTTTATAGTTTGTTTCTGTAGTAGCTCTTCAAATCTGTTGCTATATTCAGTTACATTTAGTTTTAAAACTGTCACACTTCCTTGATTGTTCTCCGGCCTTTTCAGTTAGCATTACTGCACATTCAAAAATTTCGTTCAATTTTGTGTACAAACTTACAGCCCTCACATTCTAGGTTCCTTCTCTGCCCTTTTTATTATTAATAATAATATTTATATTAATAGTAACATGTGATATTTATTTATATTTGGAATAATTTACTTTTAATTTTATGAATCTCTTATACTTTGTTTTCCAACATCCTTCTACGTTTAAAAGCAATTTATTTCAAGTGAATGAATACTTATTTCATTTAAAATGTTTTAATTGCATTTAGATAAATCTATGCCATAATTCTCAATTAAGACTTTATACAGTTGATCATGTAATATTAACTCCTAGGTTTACCATACATTTCTGCTACTTAAATTAGCAAATTCATTATTAAATTTTAAAAAGCTCATTATGTTCACCTTGTTCTTGTCACTATTCTCACCTTCATTGTCTGAGAAAACTTTGAAATTGTATTTATAACTGTCATGCATATTTTATATCTTCTTTTATAGCTTTGTACTCTTAAATAATGTATGGGTAGTATCATATTATTTTAAAGCCTTATGAAAATGGTATATTGTATGTGTTATTCTTTTTTCATTTTGGAATATGCTGTAAGAGTTGTTTGTGTTCATGTATGGTTCTGTACAATTTCATTGCAGTGTAGTATTACATTATATGAATATGCTACATCTCATGTTCACTCTCCAATTACTACTCATTTTTTTCTGAAAATCAATGTCAGTATAAATATTTTTTATATTCTTCTAGAATATTCAAGAGCTTCCTTTGAGTCCACATGGAATTGGAGCTGTTATAGCTTCAACTTACTAGTTAATATTATCTGTTTCTGAGTTGATATACTTAGTACAGCAGTATATTAAAGTTATCAAATAGATATTTTTATGCTAGAACATAGAAGTCTAAATGATTTTTATGCAAACTGTGCTCCCATTAGCCTTAAAATATGAAGAAAAGGGGCAACAGGGAAGGGGAAGTGGGAAGGGTAGGGGAAAGAAAAAAGGGAAAGGAATAAATACAAGAAAAGGAAAAAATGGAAACAAAATCTTTGTAAATAGGGAGGGGTGGAGGGTTTGAAGGGAGGCCAAGGGAATGGGGAAAAAAATAAGAACCAAGATATATCATGTAAAGGTACAAATTCCTAAGGATGAACATCATTATATTGTATACCTAAAATGTAGCAATATAATTTTTAAAACTTCTTAATAATTCAAATAATTTATTCAGTGATTTTATACTCCTTCTTAAACTTTACGTAACTTCCTATAACAACAGGAAATTTTATATTATTTTCAATTTTATTTCCCTTTATACAATAAAATCTATCAGAACCCATGAGGAATAATCAGAGCAGGTAGGAAAAAGTGAGGCAGACTCTTTGGGGTGGGGAAAGATGAGGGGAAAATGTGAAGAAGGAAGGTAGATACAGGGCTAAAGCAATAAAAAATGATCAAGATATGATATTTACATTCCCCAAAATAAATGCACCTATTATGTGTTGTAAACATACATTAGTAAACATAACAACAAACAGAACCCAATGAAGCAGTGAGAGCAGTTATTTTTAATGTTATCCAACTTTGAAAGAAATCTGTGAATGTTTAACCATTTATATGATGCTGTTGCCACTACAGATTATTGCAGTAAGATTAATCCATTCAAGTTTTACATTGTAGCATTCTATTTTATAATTTTGGTTTTTTGAGACAGGGTCTCACTATATAGTTCAGAATGGTCTTGAACTCACGGTGCAGTCCAGGCTGACTTCAGACTCACAGTAATCCTCCTGCCTCAGCCTCCCAAGTGCAGGGATTACAGGCATGTGCCACAATGCCTGTTATAGATAATAGCATTTTATATCATTTTCATTGTGTATCTATTGAGGTAACTACATATGTTTTCCTCCTTTAATCTGCTACTCTTAAACATACAGATAACATTCATGATGTTAAACTCACCTTCTATCTCTTAATATTTTCTCCATCAATTGCTTGAACATTTTCACATAGTGTGAGATTCATTTTTACACTTATTTTGTGTAGATTATTTTTAATTTGTTCATGACATAGACATTTTACCACCATCTCTTATATGCTACCTTTGCTGTGTTTGGTTACCAAGGTCATCCTCACTTCAAAATGATAAGAACATCACTTCCTATTTTAAGAAGTGCTTATAGATTGTTTTTGTACCTAGTGTATTGGACATATTTACTGTTGAAGCATTCTTTGAAAAATATTTATGGAGCAATTTTCCTCACTCTTCAATTTCATCATGGAGAGCGTTGCGTGTTTATGAATTTCTACAAATCTAAAATCTCTTATGGAACTTAAGACTTCTAGGAATTTGCCCATCTCCCAAATTTCCAGTTTTACTGCCATAAGTAGTCACAATATCATCCATTAACAATATTGGCAGTTTATGTCCAGCACTAATATTTTAATCAAGATATCATTCACCTTCATATTGGGCAGTGTTACAGTCTCATGGTGGTGACAGAAATAACTGGAGCAGTGAAAAAAATTGTCTGCAAATGAAAGATATAGTAAAGATCTCCAAAATCCAATAAATAAAAATGAGGTGTTAATCTTCTGAAAAGTCCATATTTTTTTTGTACCAGGGATCGAACTTGGGACCTTGCACTTGCAAGGCAGGCAGCAGAACCACTGAGCTAAATCCCCAGCCCTGAAAAGTCTATCTTAATGAATGTTATCTCACTGCTCTGCTAGGTGTACTTATGAAACTATTAATTCTGAAACTATTAATTCTGAAGCTATTAATTCTGTTTCCTCAATGAGCATACAAAAAGCTGAGACAAAAGTGGATTTTTACAACCATTGCAGTCAACAATACACATGGAACTTAGACTGGGTTTATCAACATGGTAATAATGCCAACTGGGCCAGCAAATTTCATGGTGTGGGAGTTGTGGGATATATGGCAACAATATGGATCTTTACCTTCTGTCTGTCAGGAGCTGTGCACCAAGTTGTGAGAATCAAAAATGTGAGAATCAAACATTTGCTTGTTGACCTGTGTTTGGCACAGGAGGCAAAAAGCTCTAGTGGGCAACAAATACTGGTGGGGCTTGGAGAAAAAGGAACTCTTCTTCCCTGCTGATGGGAGTGTAGACTGGTGTAACTGCTGTGGAAATGTGTGGAGATTCCACCAAAAAGTAAACTAGAGGTTCCATTCAACCCAGCTATTCCTCTGCTGGGTATCTTCCCAAAATAATTAAAAGCATCATACCACAGTGATATATGCACACCCATGTTTTATAGCAGCACAGTTTGTAATAGCTAAATCTTGGAAACAGCCCAAATGCCCATCAACCAAGGAATGGATAAAAAAGATGTGTTTTATTCTATATAATGGAGTACTATTCAGCCACAAAGAAGGGTAAACTTGAGCTATTTCTAGGTAAATGGATGCATCTTGAGACCATACTTTTAAGTGAAATAAATCAAATACACATGTGTAAACATTGCATTGTCTCTCTGGTGTGAGAAACAGAAAGTGTAAATAAGGACCAAAAAGAATCACAGATATTATGAAGTAGGAAGAAATTGTTCAAAATAATACTGAGTGTGAGATACTTTATTAATAATTAAAATATTTTATATAAAAATATAATTGGAAAACTCTTTTGGATGAGTCTTTAATGGTCATTGACTTCAAAGAGTTTTTTGTTCAGTCAAAACTCACAAAAAGAAGTTCAAACATGCTTTTTGCCCTCTATGTTAGAAGAGCAATGTTCTCTCGAATGTTTGGAATCTTAAAACATGTTAAATATGAAATACATTCTGATCCTCTGAAAAAAACTTCCTTATAATATGTACATTTGTCTTTCACATAGGCCAACTTGTCTTCCCAATTAATATGCAAGAACGCAGAGTGTCAGCACAGAATTCCATCTTCTTCACAACACCTGCTTCCTATAGTATAAGAGTCTCAAGAATCCCTGGAAGCCAGCTGCTGGAAATGTCATACTTGGGCCTGAAATATAAAAGAGTTGGATGTTTCACCACCCTTCCCTCCTCCTGAACTGTCAATTAGTATCTTCTTCCCCAAGCTTCAATTTAAAAATAGTTTCACAATATAATCCACTTATCTTTTACCATAGGTCTGCCTTACTTAATTAAAACATCTAAAACATCACTAAGATGTTCCTATTTGACACAATCTTTGGCTTTGTACTTGTGTCTCAGGTGTGTGTTGGTGTCCTGGGGAACTCATTGCTCTTTGTGTTATATATGTGCATCTTCTTATTTCAACCTCATCTGAAGAAGCCCATTGATTCTATTTTCATGCACCTGACGATAGTCAATATTTTGACTATCACCTTTTCATTGCTTCCTGATGCCATGTCATACTTTGGAGTAAAACATTTTTTGAATGATGTCGGTTGCCAAGCAGTTTTGTATATATTCAGAGTTTCCCGAGGTGTTTCCATCTGTACCACCTCTCTCCTGAGTACATTTCAAGCCATCACTATCAGTCCCAGTAATTCCAAGTGGGTCTTGCTTAAATCCAAACTCTCTATGTTGATTTTCCCCTCCTTCCTTTTCTTCTGGATCATCAACATGCTCATCTATATACATGTCATTAAATTTGTGAGAGCCAAAAGAAATTCCACTCTGGTTGGTCGGGGATATTCTCATGTATATTGTGAAGGTCACCAGTTAGGAAATGGCAATTTTGGGGTATTTTTTAGTGTTATATTGATTCGAGATCTCCTGTTTCTCGTCCTCATGATCTGGACCAGCCTTTACATGACGATTCTCCTCTACAGACACCAGAGGAGAGCTCGGCATGTCCACAGCCCTGACCTCTCTTTCCAGACATCTCGGGAACACAAAGTCATCTACCTTGTCCTTCTGCTGGTAAGTTGCTTTGTGTTCTTTTTTTGCTCAAACAACGTTTTGACCATTTATACATTTTATGCACCAAAGAAAATAGTAACAATAGACGTGATTAATGGAATGTTATCATCATGCTTCTCAACCGTCTGTCCTTTTCTGCTGATGAGGAATAATAAAATTATTTCCCAACTTACATCTTGCTTTTCAGTGATGGACATTACTTGTTTTCAAAGAGTACTCAGTGGCTGATCTGACACCCTATACTTTTCATTAGCAATAGAGGAGAGTTTGCAATGATTTCTATTAAAAACAATCACTAGCACTTTATTATTCTTTTATCTGTATTTTTATTAGTACATATTTGTCATACATATTGATCACATTCATTATAGGGAATTTGTACCTGTGCATAGTATCTTAATTATTTTTCCCCATTACCCTTCCCTCCTTTCAACCCTTTTTCTCTTCCCCATTTACAAATGCTTAGTTTCCATTTTCCTCCTTCTCTTCTCTTTTATTCCTTTCTTTTCCTCCACCCCCTCCTTTGCACTCCTTCCCATTTGAACATATTCTTCCTACTTCCCAATATCTATCCTCTATTTTGCTCTTTATTTACCCTTTGTGTTTCTCACACAAGAGAAACAATGCAATATTTCTAAACTTGTGTGTCAGATTTATTTCACTTAAGATTATGGTCTTGAGGTGCTTTCATTGTCTTACAAATGACTCAAGTTATCCTTCTTTATGGCAGAGTAGCACTCCATTGTATATACATACCACATTTTCTTTATCCATTCATCTTTTGATGGGCATATGAGCTGTTTCTAAGATGAAGAAGCTACTATAAATTGTGCTACTATAAACATGGGTATGCATATATTACTCTGGTATGGTGCTTTTAACTCTTCAGGAGGAAGCCTAGAAGGGGCAGAGCTGTGTCAAATGGCACTTCTAGTTTTACCTTATTGAGGAATCTCCATACTCATTTTCATAGTGGTAATACTAGTTTACACCCCCACCAGCAATGGAGAATGTATCTTTTTCCTCTATAGCCTCACCAGCATTTGTTATTGGTTGAGTTTTTGATGACAGCCATTCTTTCTGAAGTGAGATCATATTTCAGTGTTTTGTTTTGGATTTGGTTTTGGTTTGTTTGTTTGTTTGTTTTGGTACTGTGGATCAAACTCATGACCTTGCACTTGCGAGGCAGGCACAGTGCCACTGAGCTAAATCCCTGGCCCAATTTCAGTGTGTTTTAATTTGCATTTCTCAAGTGACCAGTGATATTGAGTAGTTTTTCATATATTTATTTGCTGTTTGTATTTCTTCATCTGAGAAGTGTCTATGCATTTCAGATGCCCATTAATGGATTGGTCTTTAAATTTGGTGGGTCTGATTTTTTTTGAGTTTGTATATTCTTGATGCTAGTCCTCTCTGTCTGAGAAGTAACTGATAAAAATTTTTTCCCATTCTGTGGGTTGTCTCTTCACTCTGTTGGTGGTTTCTTTTCTTGTGAAAAAGCTTTTTAATTTGATGTGGTCCCAGTGGTTAATTCCTTGTAAAATTTCTTGTGTGTTCAGGGTTTTGTTCATAAAGACTTTGCCTACACTCTTGTCAAGAGTGCTACCTATCCTATCTTCCAGCAGATTGTTTCTGCTTTTATATGTAGATCTTTGATCCATTTTGATTTTGGGTTAGTGCATGGTGAGACATATGGGTCTGGGTTCACTTTTTGACATGTGGAAAGTCAGTTTTCCTAGCTCCGTTTAGGAAAGAGGTTATCTTCTTCCAGAGGTGTTTGGTCCCTTAGTCAAAGATAAGGTAGTTGAGTGTCATTAAAGTTATTTCTACATCTTTTATTCTGTTCCACTGATTCCTGGGTCTGGGTTTGTTTTTTTTTTTTTTTTTGCCAATACCATTCTGTTTTTATCACAGTAAGTTTGCAGTACAAGTTCAAATTGGTGATTGTGATGCCCCCTGCCTTACCCTTGCTGCCCAGGATCACTTTTGTTAATCTAGGTTTCTTCTAGTTCCATATGAATTTTGTGATTATTTTCTCTGGTTCTGTGTGGTATGCCAATGGTATTTTGATTGAGATTGTATTACATCTGTATAATACTTTTGGGAAGTATGGCCATTTTCCTTATATTGGGTCTGGCTACACAAGAACAAGAGCTATCTTTCCATTTTCTGTTATTATCTTTGATCTCCTTTTTCAAAGTACTATAGTTTTCAATGTATAGATCTTTCACTTCCTTGTTATAATGATTCCTAAATATTTTAGTATATGTGCTGCTGAAGTGAGCGCATGATTCCTAAATATTTAGTTTCTCTTGATGCTATTGTGAAAGACGTGATTTTTCTAATTTTTCTCTCTGTGAATTTATTCCTGTAGAGAGATGTTATTGATTTTTGAATGTGACTTTGTATGCTGATATGATGCTGAATTTGGTAATTAATTCTAGTAGTATTTTGCTGGAGTTTTTGGTGTCTTTTATGTGCAGAATCATGTCATCTGCAAATAATGATAATTTAACTTCTTCCTTTTCTATCTTTTTTCCTTTTATTTCTTTCTCTTGTCTAATTGCTCTGACTATATTTCCAGAACTATATTGAAGAAGAGTGGTGATAGTGAACATCCTTGTCTTGTTCCTGATTTTAGAGCAAAACTTTCAGGTTTTGTCCATTTAGTATGATGTTGGCTGTTAACTTGTCATAGATGGCTTTTATCAGATTGATATAAAGAACTTCTCTTCCAATTTTTGTAGGCTTTTTATCATGAATAGGTGTTGGATTTTGTCAAATTTTTTTCTGCATTGATTGCGATGATCATGTGGTTTTTGATCTTGCTTCTGTTTATGTGGTGTATTACATTTATTGATTTGTGTACATTGAGCCATCTCTGCACCCTTGGGATGAATCGTACTTCGTCATGATGTTATCAATCATCTTGATAATTTGCTGCATTCTATTTGCTAGTACTTTATTGAGGATTTTTGCATCTATGTTCAGTAGGGAGATTGGCCTGTACTTCTTTTTTTTGCTTAGGTCCATCTCTGGTTTTGATATCAGAGTAATGCTTGCTTCCAGGAATAAGTTTGAGAGTATTGCTTCTCTTTAAACTTTATTAAACAGTTTGAGAAATAGTGGTATTAGATCTTCTCTAAAGTTCTCAAAGTAGGTATTGATGATCTAGATTTCTGCATGATCTGTTGTGATTTCACCCTTTTCATTCCTAATTGCATGAATTTGGGTCTTTTTTTTTCTTTTGGGATAAGGTTGGCTAAGGGTTTCTCAATTTTATTTAATCTTTTAAAGAACCAACTCTTCAATTCATTGATACTTTGTATTGTTTTGTTAGTCTCCATTACATTAATTTCTGCTCTGATCTTTATAATTTCCTCCCTTGTACGAACTTTGAGCTTCAATGGCTCTTCTTTTTCTAGAAGCTTGGGGTTCAACATTAAGTTGCTTATTTTAGCTTGCACTGTTTTTCTGATGTGGGAATTTATTTCTATAAATTTCCCCTGTAGGATTCCTTTCATTGTGTTCAATAAGATACAATATGTTGTATTGGAATTATTATTAATTGAGCAAACTATCTAATTTCTTCTTTAATTTCATCTCTGATCCATGGTTGTTCAGGAGGATGTTATTTAATTTCCATGCTTTTATGGCTTCTTTTGCCATTGATTTCCAATTGTATTATACTATGATCTGATAATATTCATGGGATAACTTCAACTCCTTTGCATTTAGTTAGTCATGTTCTGTGAGCTATTTTGTAGAAATGTGTTTTACTTTGTAGGATGTCCTGTGTGCTGTTAAGAATGTATATTCTGTGATTGTTGGGTGGAACACTTTGTAAATATCTACTAAGTCCATTTGTTCAAAGGTTTGTTTTAGCTCTGATATTTCTTTCTTGATATTTTTGTCTAGTTGATCTATGTATTTGTGACAGTTGGTTATTGAGGTCCCCTACTATAACTGTATTAGCACTTACCTGATTTTCCATATGTATATGATTGTTTTATGTAGTTGGGTATACCAGTATTTGGTGCATATATGTTTATGATTGTTATTTCTTTCTCTTTGATTTTTTTCTCTTAACAAATGTATGATGATTTTCTTGTCTCTTCTGATCAGTCTTGGCTTGAAATCTACTTTGTCTGCTAATAGAACAGCTACCCTTGCTTTTTTGTGTTCCTATCACATGGACTATTGTTTTCCATCCTTTGACTTTCAGTTTATGAGTTTCTTTTTTAGTTAAATGTCTTTCTTGTATGCAGCGTGTTGTTGGATCTTGTTTCTTGATCCATTCTGCCAATTTGTTTCTTTTGATTTGTGAATCGAGACCATTCACACTGATGATTATAACTGATATGTATTGACTCATCCTTGTCTTGTTATTTTCCTGTTGTTGGTTCCCATTCTTTCCTTTTGGGTTAGTTGCTTGCCTTGCCTGGTGGACTAATTTTACTGGGATTCTTGGAATTGTCTTTTTCTAGAATTCAGAACTTTTTGGAGTGCTTATTTGGTGGTCATGAATTTCTTCAGGTGTTCTTCATCATAGAGGCATCTTATTTCTCCATCAAGTTTGAAAGATGATTTTGTGGAGTACATCAATAAAGGTTGGAGGTTGTTTTCATTTATAGCTTGAAATACTTCACTCTTAGCTCTCCTTGACTTAAGGGTCTGTGTTGAGAAGTCTGCTGTGATTCTGATGGGCTTTTCTCTGTAGATGATTTGTTTCTTTTCTCCAATAGTTTTAGTATTCTTTTCTTATGCTGAATTTCTCAAATCTTGACTAATATATGCATTGATGTAGTTTATTTTCTGATCATGACTGTTTGATGTTCTACATGTCTCACTTATCTGTATCTCAAATTATTTTCCAAAGGTTGGGAGATTTTCTGCTATTACTTCTGTGAACAGTGTTTTTATGCCCTTTGTGCCATCTTCTGATTCTTCAATGAATCCAGTTTATCTCGTATTAGTCTTCTTTGCCTTGTCTAGCAGTTGTTGGATTGATTTTTCATGATCCCTTGCTATTTTTAAGAGTTCTTTCATTTGATGTTTGCCAACCACAACTCTGTCTTCTAGATCTGACAATCTATCTTCACATTGGTTGACTCTGCTCTATATGCTTCAGTAGAATTTTTTATCTCCTATTTGATTCTGTTTTATGGAACCCAGTTCTTTTCTATGTTGAGAATTCAGGGTTTCTACATCTTTCCTAAGCACCTCTA